GCCCCTGAAGGGCCAGGTTCTGGGGAACAGGGGACAGCACGGCAGGACATGGAAAGTTCTCTCCTTCATAAGGACACTACTTTCAAGAGCAGGAGATGGAGCTGACTTTCCTAACACACAGAAACAGACACACAGACAAGATGAGGAGACAGAGGAATATGTTCTAAGTGGAAGAGCAGGGAAAATTCACAGTATGAGACCCAAGCAAAACAGAGATAAGTAATAAGTCTGATGGAGAATTTAAAGCAATTATCATAAAGATACTCACTGGACTTGAGAAAGTAGTGGAAAGTATGAGTGAGATCCTTACGTGGAGATAAGGAATAACATAGCAGAGATAAAGGCTCACTAAATGAAATAAAAAAAAACATGGGTGATGGAATGAACAGCAGGACAGAAGCAGAGGAATGAATTAGTGACCTAGAAGGCAGAGGAATGGAAAGTTATCAAGCTGAGCAGGAAAGAGAAAAAAGCTATGCAAAAGGAGAATAGACTCCATCAAGCATGACAATATTTGTATTATATGGATCCCCGAAGAAGAAGAGAGAGGAAAGGGGGCAGAAGATTTATGTGAGGCAATAACAGCTGACAGCATCCCTGCTCTGGGGAGGAAAAACAGAAATCCGGATGTAGGAGGCACGGGGAGCCACCAATAAAAGCAACCCAAGGAGGTCTACACCAAGACACATAGTAATTAAAAAGTGGTGATAGGGGCGCCTGGGCGGCGCAGTCGGTTGAGCGGCCGACGTCAGCCAGGTCACGATCTCGCGGTCCGTGAGTCCGAGCCCCGCGTCGGGCTCTGGGCTGGTGGCTCGGAGCCTGGAGCCTGCTTCCGATTCTGTGTCTCCCTCTCTCTCTGCCCCTCCCCCGTTCATGCTCTGTCTCTCTCTGTCCCAAAGATAAATAAACGTTGAAAAAAAATTAAAAAAAAAAAAAGTGGTGATAAAGAGAATCTTAAAAGCAATAAAAAAAAAAAAAAGATATTTGCATATAAAGGGAAACCCCATAAGGCTAGCAGGGGATTTTTCAGCGAAAACTTGGCAGGCTAGAGGGAATGGCAAGAAATATTCAAAGTGCTGGAGGAAAATAATCTTCCTAGAAAAGCAGATAAGAATTTATATAATAGTTTGAGGGTTACTTTGTAGCCACAGTCAGTAGAACTGATCTAGGGTCCAACTTATCCCAAAGGATGACCCAGGAAATGTCAGGTGTTTGGGATGAAAGGCAAACAATGATTGTCTCCTATCACTGAGAAGGTGTAGCCCTTTTCTTGCCTTCATGAATGAATATCGGCTTCATCAAGAATAGTTGATGGCACAGAGAATTACTTTTGAATGTAGATGCAGTATTGCTTTTGAGGTAAAAAAATCACTTGCCTATAAGCTAGTCAGTTTCCAATAAATTGAATAAAATAGATCTCTTGACTCATTGATATTATAATGGACAGGGTAAGACTTACATCTATCCTAATTTATATACTTTTTTTTCCTGCAGTTGTTATCTACTTCAGACAACACAGAAGATGAAAATGCTGAGTCACCAAGTATGTATAATGATGATAATTACTGCACTTAAATTATTTTTTTAATGTTTATTTATTTTTGAGAGACAGAGTGTGAGCAGGGGAGGGACAGAGAGAAAGGGAAACTCAGAATCCGAAGCAGGCTCCAGGTTCTGAGCTGTCAGCACAGAGCCCCACGTGGGGCTCAAACCCTCAAACCATGAGATTGTGACCTGAGCCAAAGTCAGACGCTTCGCTGACTGAGCCACCCAGGTGCCCCTAATTACTGTATTTAAATAGAACCTTTTGGTACTATGGTGATTGAAATGTGATAATAGTAATAATGTACATTGTATGATCTGGACCGTGCACTGCATTCTCAAATTCATTAAGTCGGTATTTGTCAAACTTCAGTGTGTATCATATTTGCCTGAAGAACATTAAAAAATACTGCAGATTATGGAGCACCTGGGTGGCTCGGTCCGTTGAGCATGTGACTTTGCCTCAGGTCATGATCTCTCGGCTGGTGAGTTCAAGCCCCGCGTTGGGGTCTGTGCTGATAGCTCAGAGCCTGGAGCCTGCTTCAGATTCTGGGTCTCTGTCTCTAGCTCTCTGCCCCTCCCCCGCTTGTGCTCTGTCTCTTTCTCTCAAAGTAAAGAAACATTAAAAATTTTTTAAAAAAATATTGCAGATTTCTGGTCTCCACATTAAACCTACTGTATTGAGTCATGGTATCTAAGGGTGGGACTTGACTATCTGTAGTTTTAACACACTGCTTACATCCAGCCTCACCCTTGTTCTCAGACCTTGTGGGAGCGCGGGCACCACGACATTAGCTTGCTCACATATTCTTCCTGTAACATGAAGAGGGTAGAAATTATTATTCCCATTCTTCTGTAGGGACCTGAGGCTCAGACAGGTTAAACCTAAAAGATGATAGAGTCACTATTTGAACAAGCTGTTCTACTCCGTCATCTAGTGTTTAATTCACTTCAGTAAATATTTATTGTGATTCTGCTATTCTGAGGAAAAAGTAGAGAACAGGGTAAACATACGTCCTATTCTCGTGAGCTAATAGTGCAAGAGATACAGACAAGGACATGGGGAGGGATATGTTGGGAAAAGTGAAGCGTGCTGGGCTCTGGGGGGTGCACGAGGGGCGGGTCACCCAAACTGGCAAGTTCAGAAAAGGCTTTCCAGAGGAAGTACTTGTCTTAGCACAGAACTGAAGGCAAGGGTAGGATTTAACCAGATGACCAAGGGAGCACAAGAATATTGTAGGCAGAGAGAACACATGAAAGTCTTAAGCCACACAAAAGAGCAGGCACATTTGAAGAAATGAGCAAAATTCTGTATGGCCAGAAAAAAGTAGGATCGCGAACAGTTACATGAAGGAAGCCGGCCAGCGCTAAGAGTGGTCAGCACTGCAGGCGGGCTTGGACCCAAGAGCCACCAGTCTGTGACTTCTGGTCTTGAGTGTAGAGCGTGAATGAGAAAGTGGCAAGAGATGAGGCTCACGAGGTGAGCGGGGCCCAGATTGGGTGCCGTCTTGTAAGCCCCAGTTGAGTGTCTGTGAGAACGAAGCAGTTGTTGATGGAGTTTCAGAAGGAGTACGACACAGTCGGATCTGTGTGTGACAGTCACTCTGGTTATAGGGCCGGGAAGGAAGTAGACGGGAGAGGTTCAGTAGGAGGCCCTGCGGCGATGGAGTGAGTGAGGACAGTGGCCTCTTTGAAAAATACATGAAACATACTGGATTTAGAAAGCTCCTTTGTTCCTTCATCACGGGGAGAAAAGAATGTTTGGTGGCCGGTGATCCTCGACATTCTGTTTCTTTCTCCCACTCACAGTTATGCTGGGGAATGCATATTTTGTATCGGAATACGATATTCCATATTCTTATCTTCGTGACTGAACGCGTATATCATTATTTTAAGTTTAACAAAGTTAAGACAAAATAATGGCTCTACATTTTACTGGACTTTATGTTTTTGAAACTAATAACTTTCAATTCCAAAAATATATAGACTATCCCAACATGTGCCAAATTCTCGATTTTATGTAGTTGTTCATTTTGGGCCTGGAGAAAATTCCTCCGAAGATGTCGTCATGATGAACACACCCGTGGTGAAAGCGGCCTTGGAGATGGGCTTCGGTAGAAACCTGGTGAAACAGACCGTTCAGAGCAAGATCCTGACGAGCGGGGAGAATTACAAAACAGTCAGTGATATTGTATCAGATTTACTTAATGCAGAAGATGAAATCAGGGAAGAGGAGCAAGAAAGAGCCACTGAGGAAAAAGAATCAGGTACATGCATTTAGTAATCAGTGTCTCTTTCTGTATGGAGTTGATGTCTCTGAGTTACTGAAAGTATGCTCATAGTCCAATCAGATTTTATGTTCAATGTTCTGAATTTGAATTCTGGAAATTTTTACATTAAAATATATTTGAGAGGTGCCTGGATGGCTCAGTCAGCTGAGCATCCGACTTCGACTCAGGTCATGATCTTGTGGTTCATGAGTTCGGGCCCCGCGTCGGGCTCTGTGCTGACAGCTCGGAGCCTGGAGCCTGCTTGGGATTCTGTGTCTTCCTCTGTCTCGGCCTCTCCCCTGCTCATGGTTGCTCGCTTCGCTCTCTCTCTCTTTCTCTCAAAGATAAATACACATTAAAAAAAATTTTTTTTAATATTTTTGAATTGCTCATTAGTAAATTGAAAATGTATATATTGAATGAAAGCATTTTCTTTTCTTTTTGAATGTTTATTTATTTTGAGAGAGAGTGTGTGTGCATGCAAGCAGGGGAGGGGCAGAGAGAGGGAGAGACAAAGAATCTGAAGCAGGTTCTACCTCAGTGCTCAGCATGAATTATTCAGGCCTGCACACCCCCAGGCTGGCAGCAACAGAGCCCAAGCTCATCTTTGACCATCATCTTTGAGATCGTGACCTGAGCTGAAATCCAGAGTCGGACACTTAACTGACGGAGCCTCCCAGGCGCCCTGAGTGTTAAGGATTTTCTTAACTTATATTTTTACTCTGGGTCGTTAACTGTATATGTAATCATACATGGCTTGTTTTTGATCCTAGGTTCATTCCCCTTTGCTATAAATTAGGGTAGAATCAGGGGCAATTATGTATTTTAAAATTACCATCACAGTGTGTCTCAGCCTAATGACATTATGATAACATTAATAACATACATTAATGTATGGGTTATGATTAAGTTTCCTACCTGCCCACACAGGAACCTAGTTCCCCTTTGGGGTGTCTTTTGTTTGGGGGAGGTCTAGGATGCTGTTCCCATTCTCCCGGGACAGGTTATCTTGCCAGCCTTGTCTGCCACTGTATCATCTCTGCTCAGCCTTCCTTTGCAAAACTCTCCTCCCCCAAGCATGTGCATTCCCATCTGGCGACTCTGGACCCTGCCATCCCTCTGGCCTAGACCAAGAGAAATCTCTCCGTTGCCACCCTTTGCTAAGCATGGACCAGATCCGTAAGTGTTTTCAACACGGTTGAAAACAGACTGCAACTTTTAACAAGCTCTTCCTGGAGATGTAGGGATAACAGAAGAGCATTGTGTCACAGATGGCCATTGACGGCTGTAAGTGTTTGGGCCTCTCGGTGCCTCTGAGGCCTTCTTCCCGCGTCTATCTGCTTAGCTTCTGTTCTGGTTCATCTCTCCAAAGTTGTGGCCGTTTTAGACACATGACTAGGGACGTCCCTTGCGAAAGCCCAGGTCCCCTGGTATCCCCAAAGCCCAGAATGAGAAAAGTTCACCCCTTGTCTTGTGTAGTGCCATCTGGGATCTGTTTCCTCCCAGGATGATTGACTGTAAGATCATCCGCTCTGTGCTTGGACAAGCCTACCGCTCCGGTGGCTTTGTCTTCGGGGCCAACCTAGACAGACGTACCCAATCCTAGCAGGACGGCATCCTAGCTTTACCAAAGCAGGCATTATTCAGTCTGCAGACCCCTGGGACAGCAGTGACAGAGCCCAAGCTCATCTTTGCCTGGCCTCGTCAGGGTTCCTGTTTCACCGTGAAGTAGAGATACGGCTGCTTGACCTGGTGCTGGTCTGCTCCGACTCAGCTGCTAGTCACCAGCGAGCACTTCTCAAAGTCTGAGGGCATCCAGCTATAAAGCACTTATGTTTCTTTCAAAGAAAATCCACAGTCTGCACAGATGACCCCAGTCAACAATATACAGTAATTGACATCGTCAGAAAGATGTCTTAGTGTCTCCACACACCCTAATGTCCACACTGGTAAGCACACTGTGCACATAGTTTGTGCCCCAATGAGTGAACGAAAATATCTCCGTTCAGGTTACTGATGATTTTATAGTTTTCCAAGAGCAGTAGGTAAGTAATTTCTTGACAGGTGTGTAAGTAAACTTAGGATAATTTTTCCAGAACCAAAGAATAATATGCTTCAAAGGTCTATTCACGTCTTTCCCTCTTACGTGCCAGAATGCAGTCTGTGAGTTTCAGATGAGTCCTTTTCTCCTCAACCACTAGCAATCCAATTTTAGAAGCCTTGAGAATTTCAGAGAACTTGTTACATTTGTCTAAGTAAAATGTAATTAGAAACATAAATGTTAGATGGAAAAACTAACATACTTCAACACCAGGTGCAAATTATATCACTACTTCTCTACCAGAGGATTTACCCCAGTGCATTAGGTGCAAAGTCATAGCCCTCTGGCCATTACTTCTTTGTTCCTTCTGCTCTTTACATATGAAGGCTTGCCTGTGCCTCTGTTCAACGCGTACTTGTGGAGCCTTCTCTTTGTGCCACACACTAATCTCGGTCCTGGCCATTTCTCAGTTTTTTCCCAGAGCTCCAGCTGTCTTCAAATAGGGTATCTCTGGCCTTGACTTTTTGCCTAAGCACTATTTTTTATCCTTTATTAAATGATTCTATTTTTGTGTCCTGTTACTTGACAGAGTTAGCATTTCTAAAATCCAACAGTCATTTCCCCCACATAAGTTTTTTAGATAGCCCCACTTCTGTCATTAGTTATTTTATAGAAAGAGCCTTATGGGTCACGGCAAAATTGTATAATAACGATTAAACTTAGGTTCATAAATCATATTGCCAGGAGATAATAAAATTGCAGAATTTTGAAATGCAAAGTATTTTGCCAAGAGGTACAAAACCTAGATCTTCAAGGGGAATATGGTGATCCTGTAGACAGGAGGGTATCCCTGGCCAGTAGGATTTAATTTTTAACACGCTGTTAATGCCTTTCCCCACTTCCTAGAAAAGATTTGAGTAATTGCAACATCGTTAAATTAAAATTAAGATTAAAATTCATCTTAAAATGGAATTTTGAAGAAATTTTACGGGTGAATGATCATTTGAGAAATAAACGTTCTGTTGTTTTCATCTCCTGATTTTATCTTTCCCCAAGTTGACTAGACTGAATTGGAATTTCAGTTTTATCAGGTTCTAAAGGTTACTTGGTTAAAGGCTCAGCAGTTGTTCAGAACGTCCCGGAACACCGATCACGGCTCCAGACTGCCTCCGCCTGCGCTTGACTTTGGCGAGTTGTGTGTCGTTTATAGTTTGTTCGCCTCCCGGTGCCTCCGGTTCCTCGGCTGCTGAGTGGGGGCAGGGCGCCTCCCTGGGACAGCTGTTATGGAGGTGGAAGGAATTAATATGTGATGCAAAGTGCTTAACACAGTGATCGTCAGGATGGCCCAGGCAGCAGGTGGCCCCAACCCCAGCCACCTGCGCTGCCTGACTAGTCACGAATTATGTTGCTTTTTCATGCAGTTATGTGTAGGCGTGGAAGGAAGTGTGTGAGCACAGTGGGAACATGTTTGTTTTCTTTTTTACAAAGATGATGTGTCATTAATCCGGAAGAACAGAATGGCGCTCTTTCAACATCTGACTTCCGTACTCCCCATCCTGGATGGTCTCCGAACTGCCAGAGTGATTACTGAGCAAGAACACAGCGTTATTACACAGAAAGCACAAACATCTCTGCAAGCAAGATTGCTGATTGATGCTGTGTTAGTGAAGGGAAGTTTTGCAGTCACCGTATTTAAAAACTGTCTCCTAGAAATGGACCCCGTGTTATACGAGCGTTTCTTCGGTGAGTGCTGCACGGTTATTTGGGGGATCTTTCTAAGCCAATTGAAAATACGCTCTTTGTGTGACAAGCACTGGGTGTCGTACATCAATCAGTGTTGAGTCGCTATATCGTACACGCGAAACGAATATTGCATTGTTAACGCACTGGAATCTAAAATTCAATTCAATTCAGGTTTTTAAAAAAGAAAGTATGCTTTCATCTTAATACTTTGGGATCATTGAAAATAATTCAGTCTAATTTATAAACTATTAATTGCACAAAAAGATAAAAGATTTTTATTGCCTTGATGTTATGACAGTTATGTATAGCATTTGGCCAGAGTCTAAGCTCTTAGTTTAAAAATGTGTATTCCGTGAATAAATATTAACGTTGTTTGTTATAGTGCCATTTTGTTTACTGCTTTTTGCTTTTCTCCCTTAGTGCAACAGGACCTAAAGTATGTTCCCACAGGAGATGTTTCAGGTAAAATAGTATTAATTTAACCAATAGAAAACATTGGTTTTATTTTCTTGGCTTTTCATGGGAGCAGAAGCAGCAAGTTTCCTGTCATTAAAAATTCTTTTCTCGGGGCGCCTGAGGGGCTCAGGTGGTTAAGCATCGGACTCTTGATTTCAGTTCAGGTCATGGGCTTGCAGTTTGTGGGATCGAGCCCCCCCAACAGGGCCCTGCCTGCTTGGCATTCTCTCTCTTTCTCCCTCCCTCCCTCTTTCTCTCTCTCTCTCTCCCTCCCCCCACTGCCCCTCCCCACGCGTGCGTATGCTCTTGCTCTCACAAAAAATAAAATTAAAAAACATTAAGAAAATCCTTTTCTCTTGTTAGGTTTGCCAGTGGAAGAGCAGCTGAGGAGGCTGCAGGAGGAAAGAACCTGCAAAGTGTGCCTGGACCGAGAAGTGTCCATAGTGTTCATTCCCTGCGGCCACCTGGTGGTGTGCCAAGACT